ATATACAACAGGACATGTCAATAATGCACGTCACTCAATTCATTAATGTTCTCCACAACGGCATCTCTATACTCAGTATCAGGATGTTAGATTCAGCCCAGTGGGTGTAATAAATTGGTCTGTGCGGATTTGTGTTGGATAGAACTGGTCCTTGTGACTTAGTGATCTTTGTCCATATAGGCTAGAACTACGTGAGCACAGTTCTTGGTTCGCATAGTACGTCCCATACAAAAAAGTAAATACATGTAAGTAGTACGACACAGATGAGCATCCTCTATGCTTGTAACACTTACTCTAACTTATTTAGGTTTGCCAAACCAGTTGAATCTCTATTATTCAGACATCGCTTTCACTTTCAAGACGTCAAGTCTTCATTAAACATATTCCATTGAAAGATGGAACAGTTGATTACCTGTGTGGCCCAGTGGTCACAATTAAGACTAATTACAGAATACCGTGTGCGGATGCTAGATGGTGGATAAACAGAGTCTTGTGAGTCGGTGATCTCATCTCGTAGAACTCTTTGATCTGCAGCTCCAACTTACTATTGGCTGCCTCTAGAGAGCGCACCTGTGTACAAAGGGAGTGGAAGGAATCAGTTCAGTTCATGGGTCTATCCAAAATAGGACCTATGGGTCCCATTTGGGGCGCATTCCATCACGTTATGTGAATCAGTGCACTCCCATAACATAATCCCCAACATAATGGAATTTAAAATAAATGATCAAATCCTGCTATGTCATTGTCCTCATTATGTATTTAGGAACGTGTGTTTATAATAGTAATACAGATATGTATTTTAATAATAGTGAGACTTTTCCTTGAAGCTTTACAGGCAAACTAGAGGTTACTGTTTCTTCTCAATAGCAATTAGAAAAGTTAATGATGGAATAAATAGTTTTTTAAAAGTTAAAAGTTACTGCACACAGAGTGAGTCCATGCAGCTTATTATGTGACTTGTTAAGCACATTTTTACTCCTGAACTTATTTAGGTTTGCCATAACAAAGGGGTTGAATTCTTATTGATTCAAGACATTTCAGCTTTTCACTTTTAATGAATTTGTAAAAATGTCTAAAAACATATTTCCACTTTAACGTTATGGGGTATTTTGTGTAGGCCAGTGACACAAAATCTAAATTGTATCAATTTCAAATTCAGGCTGGAACACAACTAAATGTGGAAAAAGTTAAGGGTTATGAATACTTTCTGAAGAATCTGTAAGCAGACATTTTTATTTTTTACCTCAAAGCCACAAAAGTACAAATCATTCATACACGGTGGACCCACAAGACGACGTGATGAATGATCCACATGCCTCGCAATGTAAACTTATCCCCATCAAGACTTCACTGTCGCAATCCTCAAACCACCACCCATTGAAACCCCAAAGCCCCCTCATTCAGCCTAGACTCTTTTTTGGCACCGAGTGACGAGAGGTATTTCCAGGGAAACTAATACACCATTACGTGCCTAATCACTGCTACTTTTACTGCTTTCTTTGGTTCTATTATCACAGGTACATATATTTATGTTCTGCCTGGATTTGTCTTTGGCCTACGTCCAATTCCTTCCAAATGTCATTTGGAATGCCTGTGTGTCTTGGCTATTATGATAAAGCAGGTATGGAGGGGAGTGGTATACCTCCTTTACTGGAAGTTACACCAGTAAAAAAGAGGGACACAGCACAGACTGGGCCAGCACAATTTGGAGGGCTGGAGGTGGAAGAACACTAACAAAATAGGTGTATTTTGAATCTAGGACATCAACAATCTTACGTGCTTTTTTGCTTTAATTATCAGTTTCTCCGTAACTCTCTCTTCAACACCTACGTCTCAAAACTGAATGAACAATAACTCGCACGCACCTCAATTACCCCAGTTACCACACACACACACCTCCAATCTTCATAGGAAAGAGCCTCCCTATGCATTATCATCACCCTTGGAGTGCCATAAACTTACAGACTGGCTTGCAGTTTTTCTATATAAATCAGTTGATACTTTACATTACTGTGAAGTTCACCATGAAAAGAGACATCAGGTCCCATGTTAAACCATTATCTTTCGTTTCCTATTTCCATAACAGCATATCATTTTGGCTGTGGTATCCTGATAACAATTACAGTATATTTTTAAATGTATTTTTTATTGACAAGCTTCATTGACAACATTCAAAATTGATATAATATCTGTATGAATTGAATAAAAACATGTTTTACAGCTTTTAAAGACTATATTATATACAGAAGCTACTGTCTTAACTATTTAGAAAATCTATAGGTAAACAACTCTGATGTTGGTCCCAGTCAATGATGCCCTCTTTAGTCCAGATAAGAGTGGAGGATGTACGTCATCACACACTGTACACTTAACCCTTCCTCATCGGTTGTTTAGGTTACGCCTTAACGATATCAAAGTCATAATCATTTTACAACTAGGTCTATATTAAGAACAACAGTAATGAGAACAACAGTAATGATATGGTGCCTTTGTGTTTCAAATGTGTTTCTAAGTGATGGACCACTTGCCACTTTTTCCATGGCATTTTCAATGATCGATCCATGGTTTTCGTTGCATGTCAATGCAAGTGGAAGTTAGAGTTGGTGGACCTTGGCCTTGGATACAGGTGTTATGACAGGGTTGTAGACTTCTGTAACAACAACCACTATTGAACATCAAACTGAATTTTACTTTATTGTCTCACATTTCCAGGTGAACGATTAGAATATTGATGCGCCCCACCTGAATGCAGAATGGCACCAAGTATCCATTACGCATGGCGTTTCCATCATCTTTTTCAATCAATCAAAAGATCTATCTTGGACATTGTTATCAGACATTGCTCTTTGACCATATTGGTTACATAGACCTTTGTGTATAAAAGACCTGACATAAAGAACTGGCAATATCATTCGCACTTGCTGACTTCATTTTGTACAGACTGTTACATACAATCACCTCTCTTTGAAGGTAATTGACGCTCACTTTCACACACAAAATTGCTTTTTGCATTTCCTACTTTTAATCATCTAAAGCTATATTGTTAGAAAACTATTATTCTGCGTCCAGGCATGGCAATGAGTGGATTGTTGGTGTGCGCCCTCATGGCAGCGCTAGTGGGGGTTGGTTTGACATCGCCCGTATCCAAGTCGGATGACAACACCAAACAGGGTGGGATACTGCCACAGCTACTGGCCAGGGGGGAGGCAGTGAGGAATGCTGCGGAGAACGTCGCTAGGCGGGAGCAAGACACTCAAATGAGCATGGCACGGATGGAGAGGATGGCGCACCTGTCGGAGGACCAGCGCGAGTTCATGTCCAAGAAAATCATGCAGGCCATCTCAGGTACATGGTGGTGTCGAGTTGAGTTAAGTGTGTGTGTGTGTGTGTGAGAGAGAGAGAGAGAGAGAGAGAGAGAGAGAGAGAGAGAGAGAGAGAGAGAGAGAGAGAGAGAGAGAGAGAGAGAGAGAGAGAGAGAGAGAGAGAGAGAAGTGTATCGTCGTTCGCTTGAGCACTTTAAACGCACATTGAACTTTTCTGTTTGGTTCATGTAGGTTTGTATTGTTCGCAGAGATGATGAACGAGTGTCCGGACCGAGACTACCAAGGATGGGTAGACTTTGGACGGCGAAGTGCAGAGTAGAGACGTACCAGAGGCCAACTGAGGAACGTCTGCCTGCACTGGCGTTACTCAGGAATATTTACATTGGTTTATGTCATTTGATTTTTGCTTTTAATCCAAGTGTCATAATAAACATGTTTGCAGTATGTATGTCTACGGACTTTCTTGTTTTTGTTTAGGACATGGGCCGGTTTCCACGGACACAGAATATACATTGAGTGTACTTTTTAGTCTTGGACAAGGCTTAATGTGTCCGGGAAACCGGCCCATCGAGTAGAAAAATAACACACATTCACGTGTGCCTGATGGAAATACAATGTACTTTTTAATTTACAGGTGGTACAATTTATACACACATACAACTCAGCGATTATAACACATACTTCAGCAAAGAGTAGTCCATTTCAACATCTGAAATATATGCATTGCTGTTTGGTTCATTTTCTTCTGAACACAAATTGTCGTAATTTGCTATCATTTTCCGTTTTGATCTTCAGTATCCTACGCCTTTTATATACAATTGATTATCCAGACAGCCCAAAAAGTATTTTAAAAAAGCATGCAGTCCTTGATAATTTGGTTTTTCTACCTTTCTTTTTTCCGGTGACATTTTGCTTGTATTTCTTTTTCCTCGTAAGGTATCCCCCTTAGTGCAATCACTGGAGGAATTCACTTTCAATGCCCAACTTAATTTTTTCATACAGCTAACTTTTATTATTCCTGATGACATTAAATACATTTGTACAGCATGGTAGACTACCTGAATGCTTTTGGTGAGGTTCGAATAAATGCACAAGTTTACAATGACTGACATATTTGACAGCATTTCGAAGTAAAGCATTTTACAATGACTTGCAGCAGGTGATGTTGTGTGATGCCATACAAACGCACAGTACTGCTAGTGCTAAATGAGGACATTTGGGAAAGAGCAGAGTAGTATACCTCAGTGAATGTCAATAATGTCACAAACTTTCAGTAAGTTCAGTCAGTGTATCAGTCTCTCCACCATTCTGTAATGGGGAGTGATTGAAGTGTTAGTGGTTTTACCACAGTAAAGTGAATGTGGTTAATACCCACAAATGCTTCATTTTCTAATAGCAGCTATATATTGCAAAAGGACATACTGAATTCCAGTGCATCTTGTTTTTTTTTAAGTGTGACTAACTAACTGCTGTGGTCAGTTTGGTGGTTCTTAAATAACGATACCTTGAATCTTTCCCAACATAATGAAAAGGTCATGTCATTGTATTTGATGGTATTAACAAATTATTTTAGAAAACATATGGTGGGGTCCTTTCTAAAAAAAAAAACACCACGAGAAGCACCATTCCCTTACTTTCATACCGTGTAAAACCATCGACACCCACGAAACACAGGTAGAAAAAAGCAACGCATGTTTCTCAACTTTTTATTTTATAAAAAAACAAAAACCCTTCCGCGTGTTCAAGCCAGCCGGAGCGGTGATCAGGTGATTCTCCTGAGAATGATCATGATGTCACACATTGTCGTGGAGACCTAGTATCTACAATACAGGAGTCCATTACAAAAAGAAGAGCGACTGTAGACGTAACAGAAACTCAATATGGCTCTATGGTTCTCCCGAGTCTCCATTTTACAATGTATTGCTGTGGGCCCGAAACACAAAATGGCGGTACAGTGGCATAGCCAGCATGTGGATTGAAGTCAATGACGATTGAGGAGGAAGGGGAGAAGGAGCGGGGAGGGAGTTCTCCCAGTTGTTCTCAGACTCTAGGTGGATATCTGTATTGCCTGACTGCTTCTCTCTCCTCTCCGTTCTCTCTCCAGTCCACCACCCCTCGGGCCGCCACCTTGTGAAGTCCCAGACTCCTCAGCTTCTCTACCAGGTTGAAGCTGAAAATGTTCCTTCTCCCTTCTTCCTCCATCTTGAATGTACCTCCATCCCGATCTTCCTCTACCGTTGTGGGGTGTGTGTGGGCTGTGAGTGGGGTCAGTTGGTGGTAAGGGTAGGGGACGGTGGAGCCGGAGATGCCCTGCTCCTCCAGCAGCCTCAGGAGTCCTAGTGATAGAGGAGGTGCTGGGGTGGAGGTGGAGTGGTGGCCACCGCCCTGGCTAGGGTCAAAGATCAGCCCACAATGCTGCTGATTGGAGGAGGAGGGCGACTTGGTGCTCAGATGCTCACAGCTCCCACAAGCGGACAGGCTGCGAGAGCAAAGGCTGCAAATACAGGAAAAGAGGAAAAGACCAATCAGACACAGCAGTGCTGTTATCACACATCCAATGAGATACTCAGCTTGTCATTTGCCTACTTAAACATACAAAATAAACACATAGCTACAGTGGGGAAAAAAAGTATTTAGTCAGCCACCAATTGTGCAAGTTCTCCCACTTAAAAAGATGAGAGAGGCCTGTAATTTTCATCATAGGTACACGTCAACTATGACAGACAAAATGAGAAAATAAAATCCAGAAAATCACATTGTAGGATTTTTAATGAATTTATTTGCAAATTATGGTGGAAAATAAGTATTTGGTCAATAACAAAAGTTTCTCAATACTTTGTTATATACCCTTTGTTGGCAATGACACAGGTCAAACGTTTTCTGTAAGTCTTCACAAGGTTTTCACACACTGTTGCTGGTATTTTGGCCCATTCCTCCATGCAGATCTCCTCTAGAGCAGTGATGTTTTGGGGCTGTCGCTGGGCAACACAGACTTTCAACTCCCTCCAAAGATTTTCTATGGGGTTGAGATCTGGAGACTGGCTAGGCCACTCCAGGACCTTGAAATGCTTCTTACGAAGCCACTCCTTCGTTGCCCGGGCAGTGAGTTTGGGATCATTGTCATGCTGAAAGACCCAGCCACGTTTCATCTTCAATGCCCTTGCTGATGGAAGGAGGTTTTCACTCAAAATCTCACGATACATGGCCCCATTCATTCTTTCCTTTACACGGATCAGTCGTCCTGGTCCCTTTGCAGAAAAACTGCCCCAAAGCATGATGTTTCCACCCCCATGCTTCACAGTAGCTATGGTGTTCTTTGGATGCAACTCAGCATTCTTTGTCCTCCAAACACGACGAGTTGAGTTTTTACCAAAAAGTTCTATTTTGGTTTCATCTGACCATATGACATTCTCCCAATCCTCTTCTGGATCATCCAAATGCAGTCTAGCAAACTTCAGACGGGCCTGGACATGTACTGGCTTAAGCAGGGGGACACGTCTGGCACTGCAGGATTTGAGTCCCTGGCGGCGTAGTGTGTTACTGATGGTAGGCTTTGTTACTTTGGTCCCAGCTCTCTGCAGGTCATTCACTAGGTCCCCCCGTGTGGTTCTGGGATTTTTGCTCACCGTTCTTGTGATCATTTTGACCCCACGGGGTGAGATCTTGCGTGGAGCCCCAGATCGAGGGAGATTATCAGTGGTCTTGTATGTCTTCCATTTCCTAATAATTGCTCCCACAGTTGATTTCTTCAAACCAAGCTGCTTACCTATTGCAGATTCAGTCTTCCCAGCCTGGTGCAGGTCTACAATTTTGTTTCTGGTGTCCTTTGACAGCTCTTTGGTCTTGGCCATAGTGGAGTTTGGAGTGTGACTGTTTGAGGTTGTGGACAGGTGTCTTCTATACTGATAACAAGTTCAAACAGGTGCCATTAATACAGGTAACGAGTGGAGGACAGAGGAGCCTCTTAAAGAGGCTCCTCTGTAGCTCAGCTGTGGTCCTCTGTAGCTCAGCTGGTAGAGCACGGCGCTTGTAACGCCAAGGTAGTGGGTTCGATCCCCGGGACCACCCATACACACAAAAAAAATGTATGCACGCATGACTGTAAGTCGCTTTGGATAAAAGCGTCTGCTAAATGGCATATTATTATTATTATTAAAGAAGAAGTTACAGGTCTGTGAGAGCCAGAAATCTTGCTTGTTTGTAGGTGACCAAATACTTATTTTCCACCATAATTTGCAAATAAATTCATTAAAAATCCTACAATGTGATTTTCTTGATTTTTTTCTCTCAATTTGTCTGTCATAGTTGACGTGTACCTATGATGAAAATTACAGGCCTTTCTCATATTTTTAAGTGGGAGAACTTGCACAATTGGTGGCTGACTAAATACTTTTTTTCCCCACTGTATAAGCTTAGCAGCATTAGTAACAGTGCATCATTAGTTAAGAGTGGTTAGTTAGTTTCGTTGCCTGTAAGGGTGGGTTAGAGATGGTGTTAGTCAGTTCGATAGTCAGCCTGAGAACTGAAAAGAGGATTGCCGTTGGGTCGTGCAGTTTACCTGGAAGAATCTGGAAGGGATCAGGAAGTGTTGTCCAAGTTAGCATGCCAAGCAAGTGAGTGACATGTTTTTTATGAAGTAGATTCAAGATAATGGACCAAATCCTTAATAGAGAAGCAGGCATTAAGATGTTGGAATGGGAAACCTGTGTGTATTAAAGTTTGAGTTACATGTGTGTATCTTAAAATAGGATTTGGCCCCAATAATCTAATACTAAACCTCAAAGTCATTTAAATAGACACAAGAACATCAATTTGTTTTATGCATGGAAAGTTGAAGCATTGTCATAGCTGCGAGTGCATTCAATCCATGACTTTGTAGTGGTGTTTGTTCAAGGCTCAGCATGGGGGTATGATCAATAATTTTACTTAGGGGTTGGGTGGGGTCAGAGTTAAAATGGGAGTGGTTTAGAAAAGTTAGGGGATAAATATATAATTTTCCTGCATCATTCCCAAGATGTCCATGCCTGTTGGATCTTACTTTGCCTATGAAGCCCACTTTAGAGCTGAAGAAAGTGCTTGGACCAGCGTTTCCTACCACTGAGGGGAGAGACATGTGGTAAGGAGAGAGGGATTGAGTAAGGGAGGAGAGAGAAGGACTGCTATACACACAAAGTAGCAAGGTACTTTCGAGGAGAGAAATGGGGCAGCACAGCGAAGCTGCTATTGTTTTCAGAGTGGTGTATTGTAAATACCTTTTCACGTTATTACTAATATTGGTCTTTGGTTTAATGAATGAATGAATTAACGTTTGAATGAATACCAAAAGGCAAATTAATGAAAAATAAATGGATTTCACTTCATTTTACAGTCCACTACCTGGGGATAAAAGGCAGAATCTACAGCACACCCAAAACCGATTAGTGAAGGTGCTGGAGGCAAAATGGACAACTGGAGAAACAGGGAAAAGTCTCTGCACACTTCCATTCAGATGCACATTTCATTTAATAGTAGCTGAGCTTTAGGTCAGTCGACCATCAACAGTCCACTGCCTGGTAATTACTTATGTTGCTTTGGATTAATTTCAAACACCATTTAGTACCATACCATTTAGTACCAGGTTATCTATTATTTCGACGTCTTTGATGAAACTTCCAGGAAGTATTCATTGTCACCATATATACGTTCTTAGTAAATACCAGACAAAAAACATGTAACTTTTTGCACTTGACTGTACGCTGCTTTCTTGGCCAGGTCTCCTTCGAAAAAAATATCTCAAGGGCCTTCCTGGTTAAATAAAGCATACAAAATATATATATGTGAAACCGGACAGTAAAATAAAGTGTTACCAATGAATAGTTGTGTGTGAGTGATTCCCAGATCTTACCTGGTGGAGAAGGAGGGGAGCAGGAGGGAGGGGTGGTGGCCCCGACAGGTGGTGACGGTGTGGGTGGGAGGGGTCTGGGGGAGGTTGGGGCCGGAGGATAGAGGAGTGACTGTGGATGATGGACACACTTTACACAACTACACACCAACACAAAAACACACACACAACAACAAACACATACACAACTACTCACAATGGATGAGGAAAATCCCAGAGCCACCCACCAAATGACACGGATGGGAGAATGTACGATATACAACGACAGTATGAGTTGGAATGACTCAAACTGTTTAGTAACATCACACCTACCACACAGGTGAACTTAGGGGGATATGGACCACAGTAGACATGTTATCCAAATAGAAGGTTCCAGTGTCAATGCCTGATCGTTCTCCCTTACCCAATCTGACGGACCTAAAGAGTTCCGTTGGAGGGAGAAGGGAAAACGATCAGATTTTCACACCAGACTAGAGGGACCAGAGGAATGAGTGTGTACTGTGTGTGTATGAGTGAATGTCTTCACTCACAATTGAGACCCTATCAACCGTATCTACTAAATTCAACTAAACACTACCCTGTGGCCTCTTTTCTTACCCATGGCTCCGGCAGCCAGGCTGTGGGAGAGCTGTGATAGGTCAGGCTCGTCCTCCTCCAGGTCGTTGAGGCTGTAGACGTGTTGGAGGTCGATCTCCAGCTCCCGGAAGTCTTTGGTGAGGACCCCCGGACGAGGGTGCAGGATGCCTCCCAGGTTGGGCTTGGCCAGCTGCTGCCAGTGGTGCAGGGTCACTGAACCTGGCGTGGAGAGGAAGGGCGATATAGTTAGCATTGTTGTATGTTGGGAATAACACATTTATTTATTTATTAATAAACTGTATTTCTCTAATCATGCATATTTTTCATATTAAAAGAAGGAAAAAATTGTAAAGAGTGTCTACTTTCAGCTTTAGAGACTACATTCATAGTTTCACCTGTAATTGAGTCTAGCAACCTTAGGCAAGTTACCATAAAACTGACAGTCGAGTTACCGCACACCTAATATCTCAGCAAAGAACACAAAACAGGGTCTCCCCCTCCCTCCTCACCTTCCAGGGGCTTGACAATCTGCAGGCGATCGGGTAGGTAGGAGCGCGAGCCCCCCGATCCGGCCGAGGAGTGCAGCGAGCTGCCATTGGAATAGTTGGTGCCTGTCGACGCCACCGAGCTGGACACCAGGCTGTCGTTGGGCGTAAGGAACCCGCTGGAGCCCAGCTCGCCCACCTCCTCACCCTCCTCGCTGCACCCCTGGTAGGCGGCGGCCAGGGCGCGGAGTTTGCGTTCGCGCTCCACCTCAAAGAAGGGGCGCTCTGAGGCATGGCTCTGCTGGCGGTCAGATAAACAGCGGAGCGCAGCTTCTAGGTCCTGGCCTCCAGGCATGCCCGGCATCCCCAGACGCTTAAGGCCACTAACACTGAGATCAGAGAGAGATAGAGGAAGGTTAGTGATAGACTATACACTGTTGATGCACAAACACTCAAGAGTAGAGGTAGAACAGGTTTAGAATACAAATGCACTGTTGTTATTAGTACACATAGACCAGAGAAATAGAAGCTGTATGTTTGAACATGTAGGAGTGAAAGAAGTCCATTAATATACTATGAAAAAGCATTTCACTGTTAGTCTATGCCTGTTGTCTGCGAAGCATGTGACAAATACAATTTGATTTGATTTGATGTGAAAAGTAAATACCCTGTGTGTCTGCTGTCTGTGTATGAGAGTTAATGTAATTCAAACATACAGTACCAGTCAAAAGTTTGGACACACCTACTCATTCAAGGGTTTTTCCTTATTTTTACATTTTTTTTACATTGTAGAATAAAAGTGAAGACATCAAAACTATGAAATAACACATATGGAATCATGTAGTAACCAAAAACGTGTTAAACAAATCAAAATATATTTGAGATTTGAGATTCTTCAAATAGTCACCCTTTGCCTTGATGACAGCTTTGCACACTCATGGAATTCTCTCAACCAGCTTCACCTGGAATGCTTTTCCAACAATCTTGAGGAGTTCCCACATATGTTGAGCACTTGTTGGCTGCTTTTCCCTCACTCTGCCGTCCGACTCATCCCAATCCATCTCAATTGGGTTGAGGTCAGGGGATTGTGGAGGCCAGACCTTGGCCAGGCCTTGGTAAAATAGCCCTTACACAGCCTGGAGGTGGGTTGGGTCATTGTCCTTTTGAAAAACAAATGATAGTCCCACTAAGCCCAAACCAGATGGGATGGTGTATCACTGCAGAATGCTGTGGTAGCCATGCTGGTTAAGTGTGCCTTGAATTCTAAATAAATCACAGACAGTGTCACCAGCAAAGCACCCCCACACCATAACACCTCCTCCTCTATGCTTTACGGTGGGAACTACACATGTGGAGATCATCCGTTCACCCACACCGCGTCTCACAAAGACATGGCGGATTGAACCAAAACCTCTAATTTGGACTCCAGACCAAACAACACATTTCCACCGGTCTAATGTCCATTGCTCGTGTTTCTTGGCCCAAGCAGGTCTCTTCTTCTTATTGGAGTCCTTTAGTAGTGGTATCTTTGCAGCAATTCGACCATGAAGGCCTGATTCACACAGTCCCCTCTGAACAGTTGATGTTGAGATGTGTCTGTGACTTAAACTCTGTGAAGCATTTATTTGGGCTGCAATTTCTGAGGCTGGCAACTCTAATGAACTTATCCTCTGCAGCAGAGGTAACTCTGGGTCTTCCATTCCTTTGGCGGTCCTCATGAGAGACAGTTTTATCATAGCTCTTGATGGTTTTTTCGACTGCACTTGAAGAAACTTTCAAAGTTCTTGAAATGTTCCGTATTGACTGACCTTCATGTCTTAAAGTAATGATGGATTGTCGTTTCTCTTTGCTTATTTGAGCTGTTCTTGCCATAAAATGGACTTGGTCTTTTACCAAATAGGGATATCTTCTTCTTAACTTTTATGAAGGCACACCTGTTAATTGAATTGCATTTCAGGTGACTAACTCATGAAGCTGGTTGAGAGAATGCCAAGAGTGTGCAAAGCTGTTATCAAGGCAAAGGGTGGCTACTTGAAGAATCTCAAATATAAAATATATCTTGATTTGTTTAACACTTTTTTGGTTACTACATGATTCCATATGTGTTATTTCATAGTTTTGATGTCTTCACTATTATTCTACAATTCTATGCTGTGGAAATGTACATGCCGCCTAAAGGTGGGTGGAGCAAAGTCCTTTGCGTGGATGCATATAAAAAGGCGGTGTGTGTTTTTGGCGCCAGAGCGCTCTCATTGATCCCTTGCAGACTGGAGAATTGTTTAATTCATCCTTAACTAGAGTCTTACACCCTCTGGGGATTATTAAAAGTTTGAGTATTAGAGATAAAAATTCTCGTGACAGTATCAAAACATTTCTACAGCATTGAAGGTCCGCAAGAACACAGTGGCCTCCATCATTCTTAAATGGAAGAAGTTTGGAACCACCAAGACTTTTCCTAGAGCTGGTCGCCCGGCCAAACTGAGAGAAGAGAGAAGGGCCTTGGTCAGGGAGGTGACCAAGAACCCAATGGTCACTCTGACAGAGCTCTAGAGTTCTTCTGTGGAGATGGGAGAACCTTCCAGAAGGACAACCATCTCTGCAGCACTTCACCAATCAGGCCTTTATGGTAGAGTGGCCAGACGGAAGCGACTCCTCAGTAAAAAGGCACATGACACCCAGCTTGGAATTTGCCAAAAGGCACCTAAACACTCTCAGACCATGAGGAACAAGATTCTCTGGTTCGATGAAACCAAGATTGAACTCTTTGGCCTGAATTCCAATTGTCAAGTCTGGAGGAAACCTGGCACCATCCCTACGGTGAAGCATGGTGGTGGCAGCATCATGCTGTGGGGATGATTTTCAGCGGCAGGGACTGGAAGACTAGTCAGGATCGAGGGAAAGATGAACGGAACAAAGTACAGAGAGATCCTTGATGAAAACCTGCTCCAGAGCGACTGGGGTGAAGGTTCACCTTCAAACAGGACAACAACCCTAAGCACACAGCCAAGACAACGCAGGAGTGGCTTCGGGACAAGTCTCTGAATGTCCTTGAGTGGCCCAGCCAGAGCCCGGACTTCAACCCGGTCTCTGGAGAGACCTGAAAATAGCTGTGCAGCGACGCTCCTCATCCAACCTGACAGAGCTTGAGAGGATCTGTACAGAAGAATGTGAGAAACTCCCCAAATACAGGTGTGCCAAGCTTGTAGTGTCTCGAGGCTGTAATCGCTGCCAAAGGTGCTTCAACAAAGTACTGAGTAAAGGGTCTGAATACTTATGTAAATGTGATATTTCAGTCATTTATTTTTAATACATTTGCAAAAATTTCTAAAAACCTGTTTTTGCTTTGTCATTATGGGGTATTGTGTGTAGATTGATGAGGGGGGAAAAAACTATTTTATCAATTTTAGAATAAGGCTGTAATGTAACAAAATTTGGAAAAAGTCAAGGGGTCTGAATACTTTCCAAAGGCACTGTATATATACACACATACACTGTTGCCAGTCTCACCTGTTGTCCTCAGTGTGTGCCACCTCTGCCAGCCTCGATATGGCACTAGGTGGTTTGTCCTCCAAGGTGAGGCTGGTGCTGTCTGAGCCGTAGTAGCTGGTACGGGGAGTGGAGGCGCGGCTGGAGCGCAGCGACATGGGGCTGGAGCCGGGCACCTGGCCGGGGGAGTGGCACCGCGACCGCAGCCTCGACGCTTGGTTCACCACCTTCACCGTCTCAAACACGCGCCACGGGTGGTTCCTTTGGCAACCATAGATAAACCATATAGATTAGTGGTGGTGACAAAGTTTATGTCAGTGTATTTGTGCTTGAATATTAGATCTTCTTTAGTGTAATTTTGGAAACATTTTAAACATTGTATTTGACTTATTGTATATTTTTGATGAATAGATGTGCTTTGTTATGTCATAATGTTTTCGTTCAATCAAACATACTTGGTAATATTTCACCTTTGGCACATAACTGACATACCGGTATTCTCATCCAACTGAGCTTAACAGGTTGGAAAAAGCACATTGTCACCGGTGTTTTATGTTTTCACAGTGACATCATCACTCACTTGTACTCGGACGGGGCAGGGACGTCCAGGCCCTTGCGGAAGGTGCCCTCTATCTCTGCTGCCAGGGAGTCCATGGGGAACACGGCTGATAGGGCGCTGTAGCGCTGCACCGTGCTGTTGGGCATGCTCTTGTTGCGCAGGTTCTTAATGTCCTCTCTGGCCTCCCGTAGCATGTCCTCGCACTCTGAGTACTTGTCCTGCAGGTAGTTTAGCTACAGCCAGGGAATGCCAGAGGTCAGTTAAACACACACTACTACTGCAGTTAAGTACAAGCTTGCCTTGAGGGACAGATCTAGGGTCAGCTTCCCCAAATCCTTGCCTTAACAATAAGGGGGAAAATCCAAAAACCAACCTTAGATCAGTGTTAAAGAGCAACATTATCCTACTTGTTATAGATAGCTCATTGGAGGGTAATGAGCTGTGGATTGTGGGTAGAGTGTGAGGGCGGGTCTTACCTCTGATTTGAGCTGTAATTGGCTCTCCCGCGAGGCACTCAGGTGCTGGGTTAGCTCTTCGTTGTCAGTGGTGAGCTAGAGGAACAGAGTGGAGAGTTAATACCATGATCGTATCAGTGATACTGTAGATACCAACTTCAGTGCATATGTAAATATTTGATGTACTCCATTATAGAAGTGTTCGGTGTGGGGGAGTCTTGAGTCTTTTGTCCTTGTGGAACCTCAAGGCATGAGAGGAGTGCCACGTCAACTCTGATGTGTGTGTGTCCGTGTACTGCATGCTTGTGTGTGTGTGGGTTTGTATTTAGGTGTGTGTGTATGTGTGTGCGTTGTTGTGTCTGTGATCACTCACCCCTTTGCAGCGTGCCTGCAGGTCGACTATCTGTCCAAGCAGGGAACTGATCTCCTCCTGCTGCCTGAGAGTGTCCTCCACCTTACGGGCCAACTCATCAGACAGGTCCACCACCTGCTTATTCACAGAGGCTGGGGGTGGAGGTAGAAAAAAAGATTGAGGGAGAGAAAGAGAGAACGAGACAGAGAGAGAAAAAGAGGAGGGAGAGAGACAGGGAGAGGGTTAGTATGAATACATAGTACAAACACATACTGTTTTCACTGTATTCACCCACTCACCAGTTCACTCTCCCCTCAGGAACACAGTAATACTGTATACATTATCAAATATGTATAGTAGTACACTGTAGTACATTATAGTATACTTACTGAGTTCCTCCACACACACCATCATCAGCTCCTGCTCTTGTTCCTCATAGTTAGCAGTCTCTGACGTCAGTTCATTGGCCTGTGGAGTAACAACATCAATGGCATTAGCAAGGTTCCTATCCACTTCAATGAATCTGGTGTATAGTACAGTAGCCATCATTTGCGATTAGCAAGTTTCCCATCCACTTCAATGACTTCAGGTATTTAGAAGTAGCCAGTGTTACACACCTCACAGCGTAGTTTGAGGTTCTCCTCCTCCAGACCTTTGAGTTTCTGTTGTATGAAGTCATAATTGACACGGTTACTGAGTGAGTTAGACGACTCGTTCCTCTTCATTCTGAAAACAAGGAGAGAGGGAGAAGGCGGTCAGAATTAAGTCTTACGTTTACCTGTCAAAGTTGTGTTGATATGCCTGAGAGGATGTACGACGTGTATGTGTACTCTGCAGTGTGTGTGTGTGTGTGTGTGTGTGTTTGTGTGTACTCACAGTGAGTGTGAGTCGGAGGCGTTCTCGATCTCCTCTGTGCTGGCATACAAGTGGAGCAGGTCGTCTCTCATTGAAAGCTCATGACGCAGCTGGGCTATCTGGTGAATGGGAAACAGGAACCAGGGTCAGAGTACTGAACTAGGATCTATCATGTACAGTGGTGCCCAGTCCTTTTTTTCTTTTTCTTCTTTTTTTTCTTTTTAGGGGGTAGATCAGCTTTAATATTGCAGATAGATTGTAACTTCCATCAATGTAATTGTCTGCATCACTTCCAATCCCCCATATTGTTTCTCGCAAATATATATATATACATATATATACATATACACATACATACATATATATACACATACATACACACATACATACACATACACACACATATCCTTTTTTTTTTTTTTTATATTTCCCTTTATTACTTTCCAACCCCACCACCCCTTCCCCAATTGGAGTCAACCAGTGAACAACAATGCCTAGGCCTCTACTTTCAGCTTATACATACTATATACATTTTACGGACACAGTCAATTTGACAATAATTCTAATTTGTTTGTTTTTACTCCTGAACTTCCTCTACTCTCAAACTCTCAGAACATATTCATGATGTCCATCCGGTTTGCTTCTTTATGCCATATCTTTCTAACTGTGCTCTTTCACAAAAGCTCTCAACCTATAACCTATATACTTATTATGGACACAGTATGCTTACATTATTAGTTATCTTGTTGTTATTAGTTGTTGTTAGTTGTTATTAGTCCCATCCTTCAACACCACCCATCTATCTTTTAACACCATCCAAATTGGATTTCTATTTGCCATATATTTTTCAACTGTACTGTGATGTTTTACAAAAGTTCTGAACCCTTCCATTCTCATTGTTTCTACAGATTGTAAATTGAAAATAAACATTTTTGCTAAAAGTATTATTATATTATTGATTGATTGACTATGACTTTTCAGATCACCCAGTAATGCTATCTGCAAGGTTAGCTCCAGGTAAATATTGCAATCCTTTAGCCATTCCTGGACCTGTGTCCAAAAACAAGCTACAAATGGACAGTACCAAAACAAATGATCTAATGATTCTGTCTCTTCGCAGCAAAATCTGCAGAGCTGGGAAGATTGTATCCCCCATATAAATAACATTCTATTGGTAGCAAGAATTTTATATAATAATTTAAATTGAACAATTCTAAGTTTTGAATCTGGCGTCGTTTTTCGTATCAGTTTATAAACACTATGCCATGGGATCAGTACGTCAAAAATCTCTTCCCAACTATTTTGCAATCTATATGGGATGGCTGTCAATCCTTTGGTCCTTAAATGAAACTGGTATACTTTTTATTTATCACAGTTTTCTTTAACCAATTATGTTCTTTAATGCAAGGCCGACAGACAAGTTCCTTACTTTTTCCCCCTTCCACTTTCCTCTTCCATTTTTGCAGTAATGCTGCAATTATTTGGTTGTAATTTGGTCCCCATTCCTGGTCTGGGCGAGAGTTACCGGGTGTGCAGGCTTTTGATCCTGCCTAGCATTTATGCAATGATTCAACTGATAAAAGGTCTAAATAAAAATTGAACCAGTTGTGTTAATGCCGGGCTGGAACAAAAGACTGCATTCGCTGTAAATTTCATATTCCAGGACCAGAATGAGTGTGTATTTTCTCTTGCTAAAAGCTATGTTCCAGCACTACTGTATTCTGTCTGTAATACGTGAGATAAATCAAAGTAGGGCTACAGTGATGGTTTCATACCTCTTCCTTAGCGATCTCCAGCTGTTCGTCCATTAACTCATTCCGTGCCGTTAGATCCCGATTCTGCTTGAGCAGCGATTGGCCGATCCGGGCCGCCAATTCGAGGTCCCGCTCTTTCTGCAAGACGGCAATGGTTTGATGAGGATGTTCCTCATTCTGTGATGTAGTTACAGTTTCTAGTAGAATACTTGTTTATCATTCTAGCAACATGGTTATGTCTGATGACTATCGTAATTTGCTCAAATGTATAATATATTCAGTTACACATTATTCAATTCGATTCAATACAACTTAATTAGTCCCAGGGACGATTAAGGGGTTACATACGGAACGTTCCCGTTATATTTACTTACCTCTTCCAGTAGGTGGGTGACAGCCTCGATGTCATGGTACGTCTTAGTGACCTGGCCCACTCTCTCTGAACACAGCACTGTAGGAGGGAGATGGGAATAGCGGGAGAAAATAAAAATACCTGGTTAATATATAGTTCACTGAAAAGTAGGAGAGGCCATTGGACAGTGAATTATTCAGACAGTATAGAGACAGTAACTTTCTGGTTAGAAGTTTCATTGGTCACAGGAGCTAAGATAATTTCTGACCTACACTGACCACACAATTCAGTTAATTTGAACACGATATCGGGAAGTTAAACTTTGAGAGGTAAAAGCTACAGTGGGGAAAAAAAGTATTTAGTCAGCCACCAATTGTGCAAGTTCTCCCACTTAAAAAGATGAGAAAGGCCTGTAATTTTCATCATAGGTACACGTCAACTATGACAGACAAATTGAGAGAAAAAAATCAAGAAAATCACATTGTAGGATTTTTAATGAATTTATTTGCAAATTATGGTGGAAAATAAGTATTTGGTCACCTACAAACAAGCAAGATTTCTGGCTCTCACAGACCTGTAACTTCTTCTTTAAGAGGCTCCTCTGTCCTCCACTCGTTACCTGTATTAATGGCACCTGTTTGAACTTGTTATCAGTATAAAAGACACCTGTCCACAACCTCAAACAGTCACACTCCAAACTCCACTATGGCCAAGACCAAAGAGCTGTCAAAGGACACCAGAAACAAAATTGTAGACCTGCACCAGGCTGGGAAGACTGAATCTGCAATAGGTAAGCAGCTTGGTTTGAAGAAATCAACTGTGGGAGCAATTATTAGGAAATGGAAGACATACAAGACCACTGATAATCTCCCTCGATCTGGGGCTCCACGCAAGATCTCACCCCGTGGGGTCAAAATGATCACAAGAACGGTGAGCAAAAATTCCAGAACCACACGGGGGGACCTAGTGAATGACCTGCAGAGAGCTGGGACCAAAGTAACAAAGCCTACCATCAGTAACACACTACGCCGCCAGGGACTCAAATCCTGCAGTGCCAGACGTGTCCCCCTGCTTAAGCCAGTACATGTCCAGGCCCGTCTGAAGTTTGCTAGAGTGCATTTGGATGATCCAGAAGAGGATTGGGAGAATGTCATATGGTCAGATGAAACCAAAATAGAACTTTTTGGTAAAAACTCAACTCGTCGTGTTTGGAGGACAAAGAATGCTGAGTTGCATCCAAAGAACACCATACCTACTGTGAAGCATGGGGGTGGAAACATCATGCTTTGGGGCTGTTTTTCTGCAAAGGGACCAGGACGACTGATCCGTGTAAAGGGAAGAATGAATGGGGCCATGTATCGTGAGATTTTGAGTAAAAACCTCCTTCCATCAGCAAGGGCATTGAAGATGAAACGTGGCTGGGTCTTTCAGCATGACAATAATCCCAAACACACCACCCGGGCAACGAAGGAGTGGCTTCGTAAGAAGCATTTCAAGGTCCTGGAGTGGCCTAGCCAGTCTCCAAATCTCAACCCCATAGAAAATCTTTGGAGGGAGTTGAAAGTCCGTGTTGCCCAGTGACAGCCCCAAAACATCACTGCTCTAGAGGAGATCTGCATGGAGGAATGGGCCAAAATACCAGCAACAGTGTGTGAAAACCTTGTGAAGACTTCCAGAAAACGTTTGACCTGTGTCATTGCCAACAAAGGGTATATAACAAAGTATTGAGAAACTTTTGTTATTGACCAAATACTTATTTTCCACCATAATTTGCAAATAAATTCATTAAAAATCCTACAATGTGATTTTCTGGAGAAAAAAAATCTCATTTTGTCTGTCATAGTTGACGTGTACCTATGATGAGGCCTCTCTCATCTTTTTAAGTGGGAGAACTTGCACAATTGGTGGCTGACTAAATACTTTTTTTTCCCACTGTAACTGCCCGGTGGACTAGGTCATCATTGTCCTCAATGACCCACAACTATCCCCTCTCTTTCTGTGAATGACTCATGGTCAACAACAAGTTGAAAGGAAACAGACCGGGGCACTGACCACAACATTACCATGTAGCCAGTCAGTTAGAGCTTATCCTCTTAGCCTGATCCTCATTACAGGGATAAGACCCATCTCTCTCTTTCCCTCTGATATAAATAAACCTCAGCACACGCTGCTGTTGAAAACTGTAATGAGAACAGTTAACCCTCAGAAGGAAGTTAGGCTGGATATCTATGGCCGTGATTATAGAGCGGTCTGGTTATAGACAGGTCAGTTTGTTTACTGGTTTGTGAATGGACACTGCGACCCTGTTCAGGACTGATGGGCGGGTGAATAGTGGTCATCCTGTTTGGAAGCTGAGTCATCATAGAGTTACAGTTGATGCTTTGTTCATCATAGTAATTATTATAGTGACCTAAAGAAGTGGGGCCCATGGTTTCTGTGCCAGGGCTCATCTTTGTTTCATGTTTTCTTGTGACCCTCCATATAATCAAAAATGTGTTTCTATCCAGACCAATCAGCCGGGACCAATGGATTGATTGCTCTAATTTTTTTAATGTGTATTTTTCCATATATAGACACACCCTATGTGTTTTAATAAAACTATATGCATTGAGCTTGTCTGATGCTTTAAGCTTATGGTTTGATGCCTCAAGAGGGAGCCAGAGATCTAGCTAACCAGAATTTAAAAAACGTAAGCTGACCCAACTATTCTCCTCCCGCTCCTGCTGGTTTTCACAGATTTTGCCATTACTCTCCTGAAGTTGCCGGTAATAGGCTACAATAGGAGTCGGCAACCTTTCTCATGTGGAATGTCAATTTATCTTACCATTTCTACCGATCTGTGTGCCAGTTACATTTTCGTGAAAGTTTCATTTAATTTATAATAACGTCTTCATATCTCAAAATCATTGTCATGTGGTTAATCAAAATTCTATACAAATCTAAATGAAAATGATACAAACCTAAAAAGTAACTTTGATTGCCATTGCCAATATGTAAAGAGAGCCTACATAAAGCCAAAAAATAAAAACATTGCAGGTAGAAAATATCCTGATAAAAATAAATCTCCTATAAATCACATTGACTACACATGGCCTGTCTGCAACGAACTTTAAACACTGTATCAACTATTAACCCGAAACTTGCAACATTGTATAAAATATTCTGGGCCTTCAGAGTTTCCCATGCCAGTGAGCTCGGGACAGACACAGCTGTAGGCTATTTGCGCAAGGGATAAGCAGTGCTTGACTTGGGTACCGGCACCTTACATGTTCTACTGCTTGAGCTCCTGTTCCTCCTATAGAATATTAGCTCAAAAGAATTGTGGATCTCCTGCACCTAAATATAAACAGAACCCAAAATGAGTACCGGAACCTATTTCAGTCCAAGTCAAGCACTGATAAGAAGACTATTTTATTACTTTCCACTGGATCAGAGCATGACATTTTTCCCTTTCACACTGAGTGGTTATCGAAAGCGAAAGATCTTTCAAATACATTGAGGAACTATTGTAATTCTCAATGGATGTAAAAACAGACTTCGATTGCTTGCTGTCTGAGGTGAAGAAAACATTACTTAGAGAAGCTCCACAGGTCATTAGTGGTGGTGCGTTAAGCCAATCAGAAATAATATCAGATCCCCAAATGGGCTACATTTGCACGCAGGCATCTACGCATGTGCGTCCTTACTCAACATTGACAGGAGCGCTTCAAACCAAAGACAATGACAAAATGGCAGAACTCGTAAATGTTTCTCACAAGTTTAGCATAGGTTGTGCACTCTGCAAACAATGTGTCCACTCCGACAATGAGAACAGGAAGACTGGAATAATAATATTGAATGCATTAAAATAAATTACCGTAACCAAAGTAACAAACATTGTAGATTAGAAATTATAGGAATTAACGGTAAATGTACTACTGGTGAAATATGTCATGGGGAATTGATATACACTAACAATCAAACGCAAACAATTCACACAATTAAGTTATGAAACAATGAATGTGCACAAATTGGCGGGAGAGAGCGCATTCTGGAGAGAGAAGTGCATTGTGCATCTGGGCGCATGGTCAATCCGACGTCCCTTCGGATTGCTACAAAATATGGGAGGTGCATGGCGATGCGATACAGAGCTCGATTTGGCCTCTGTATCGCATTTGCTTCACACCCTCCATATGGAGCCTCCGACCACATTTTTGAATCAAGCATGAATTGGCTTTTAATCTAGGCCTCCGCAATGGATTAGTTCACTGAGATGGGAGCAAATATATATATATCAGTTTAAATATGGCTCCCAATCAGAGACAACCAGCAAACAGCTGACACTCGTTGCCTCTGATTGGGAGTCACTCAGGCCAACATAGAAATAGAGAACATAGATCTACACACCCTGGCTCAACATAACAGTGTCCCCAGAGCCAGGGCGTGACATATATATATATATATATATATATATATATATATATATACACACACACACACACAGTTGAAGTCGGAAGTTTACATACACTTAGGTTGGAGTCATTAAAACTTGTTTTTCTACCACTCCAAAAATGTATTCTTAACAAACTATAGTTTTGGCAAGTCGGATAGGACATCTACTTTGTGCATGACACAAGTAATTTTTCCAACAATTGTTTACAGACAGATTATTTCACTTATAATTCACTGTATCACAATTCCAGTAGGTCAGAAGATTACATACCCTAAATTGACTGTGCCTTTAAACAGCTTGGAAAATTCCAGAAAATGATGTCATGGCTTTCGAAGCTTCTGATAGGCTAATTGACATCATTTGAGTCAATTGGAGGTGTACCTGTGGATGTATTTCAAGGCCTACCTTCAAACTCAATGCCTCTTTGCTTGACATCATGGGAAAATCAAAAGAAATCAGCCAAGACCTCAGAAAAAACTTGTAGACCTCCACAAGTCTGGTTCATCCTTGGGAGCAATTTCCAAAATTCCTGAAGGTACCACGTTCATCTGTACAAACAATAGTACGCAAGTATAAACACCATGGGACCACGCAGCCGTCATACCGCTCAGGAAGGAGACGCGTTCTGTCTCCTAGAGATGAACGTACTTTGGTGCGAAAAGTGCTAATCAATCCCAGAACAACAGCAAAGGACCTTGTGAAGATGCTGGAGGAAACAGCTACAAAAAAAGAAAGGCCGCTCAGCAAGGAAGAAGCCACTGCTCCAAAACCGCCATAAAAAAGCCTGACTACGGTTTGCAACTGCACATGGGGACAAAGATCATACTTTTTGGAGAAATGTCCTCTGGTCTGATGAACCAAAAATAGAACTGTTTGGCCATAATGACCATCGTTATGTTTGGAGGAAAAAGGGGGGCCTTGCAAGCCGAAGAACACCATCCCAACCGTGAAGCACGGGGGTGGCAGCATCATGCTGTGGGGGTGCTTTGCTGCAGGAGGGACTGGTGCACTTCACAAAATAGATGGAATGAGGAAGGAAAATGATGTGGATATATTGAAGCAACATTCAAGACATCAGTCAGGAAGTTTAAAGCTGGTCACAAATGGATTGCAAAGGATTGTAGACCCATTGCATTGTAGAAGACTCAGGTTTCCTGATGTTTTGCAAGTGGCGTCTCAAGACTCTTTCTATAAGCCACCGTCAAAGAGCCACAGTTATGAAGAAAATCCACGAGCTCTATGAAAACGAAAAGAAAAAGGAAAGAGGTCTTGGCTCAAGTAAATCATATCGCCCTGACAGGAGACCATTGGACATCAGTGAGTAACAACAATTACCTCGGAGTAACTGCACATTTAATCAGTGACACGTGGGAACTGAAGTCTTTTGCGCTGACTATATTAAAAACTGAGGAGCGTCATTTTGCGGAGGCTTGTAAAGAACAGTTCCTGTCTGTTGCACGTGAGTGGGACATCGTATGCATTTCAGAAAAAAAATGGTTAGGATTCAGGTGTAATTGCAAATAGTGATTAATCATGATTAATCCACTGAAAATTCTGATTAATTTGATTAAAAATTTTAATCATTTGACAGCCCTAATATATATATATATATATATATACACACAGTTGAAGTCGGAAGTTTACATACACATAGTGATACACTTACATACACTTAGTTGGTGTCACGCCCTGGCTCTGGGGACTCTTATATGTTGAGCCAGGGTGTTAGTTTATATGTGTAGTGTCTATGTTTTGTTTTCTATGTGTTCTTTTCTAGATCGTGTGTTTCTGTGTTGGCCGGGGTGGTTCCCAATCGGAGGCAGCTGTGTCTTGTTGTCTCTGATTGGGAACCATACTTAGGCAGCCTGTTGTGCACTTGTCATTTGTTGGGATCTTGATCCGTAAGGTTTGTGTTTAACCCTAGGACTTCACGTATCGTTTATTGTTTTGTTTGTGTGTGTACTCATTAAAAGAATGTACGCTTATCACGCTGCGCCTTGGTCCGCTCATTACGACGATCGTGACAGAAGATCCCACCATAACAGGACCAAGCACCGTGTCCAGGAGCAGACAGCCTGGACTTGGGAGGAGATCTTGGACGGGCAGGGATCCTGGACTTGGGAGGAAATCCAGGCCGGAATGGATCGCCGTCCGTGGGAGGAGACGGTGGAGGCGCGCCATAGAGAGGAGCAGCGGCGCCAACCGTGCCAACGTCGGACACGCAAGAGGCAACCCCAATAAATTTTTTGGGGGGGGCACACGGCATGGACGACGGGGCTGCTGGAGGCAGCTACAGGGCGAGTTTGTGGATTAGGAGAGGAGGCCACCGGGTTTGGGGGTTGGAAGGGAGGTTGGCGGAGCCTAGAGGTAGAGCAGAGCCAACTCCCCGTACTCAGGCTAGGCAGCGTGAGACTGGGCAGGTTCCGAGGTATGCAGAGCTGCGTACTGTGCCGCGAGTGGTCCGGCACAGTCCTGTACGTCCTGTGCTAGCACCACGCACGTGTCGTGCTAAGGTGGGCATGCAGCCAGGACGGAGTGTGCCGGCTCAACGCTCGTGGCCTCCAGTACCCCTCCTCGGTTCCGGATATCCTGCGCCAGTGCCACGTGCTGTAGTGCCAGTACGAGTACACAGCCCTGTACGTCCTGTGCTGATGCCTCACACAGAGTGTGTAAAAATAGGCATTCAGCCAGGACGTCTCCACAGCCCGGTCCGGCCTGTTCCTGTTCCCCGCACCAAGCCTGTGGTGCGCGTCGCCAGCCCGGACCGGCCTGTTCCTGCTTCCCGCACCAAGCCTGTGGTGCGCGTCGCCGGCCTGGCCTGTTCCTGCCCCTCGCACCAAGCCTGTGGTGCGCGTCGCCAGCCCGGCCCGGCCTGTTCCTGCCCCTCGCACCAAGTCTGTGGTGCGCGTCGCCAGCCCGGCCCGGCCTGTTCCTGCCCCTCGCACCAAGCCTGTGGTGCGCGTCGCCAGCCCGGTCCGGCCTGTTCCTGCTCCCTGCACCAAGCCTGTGGTGCGCGTCGCCAGCCCGGCCCGGCCTGTTCCTGCTCCCCGCACCAAGCCTGTGGTGCGCGTCGTCAGCCCGGTCCGGCCTGTTCCTGCTCCCCGCACCAAGCCAGTGGTGCGCGTTGTCAGCCCGGTCCGGCCCGTTCCTACTCCCCGCACCAAGCCAGTGGTGCGCGTCGTCAGCCCGGTCCGGCCCGTTCCTGCTCCCCGCACCAAGCCAGTGGTGCGCGTCACCAGCCCGGTCTGATGAAACAAAAATAGAACTGTTTGGCCATAATGACCAACGTTATGTTTGGAGGAAAAAGGGGGGCCTTGCAAGCCGAAGAACACCATCCCAACCGTGAAGCACGGGGGTGGCAGCATCATGCTGTGGGGGTGCTTTGCTGCAGGAGGGACTGGTGCACTTCACAAAATAGATGGCATCATGAGGAAGGAAAATTATGTGGATATATTGAAGCAACATCTCAAGACATCAGTCAGGAAGTTAAAGCTTGGTCACAAATGGGTCTTCCAAATGGACAATGACTCCAAGCATACTTCCAAAGTTGTTGCAAAATGGCTTAAGGACAACAAAGTCAAGGTATTGGAGTGGCCATCACAAAGCCCTGACCTCAATCCTATAGAATATTTGTGGGCAGAACTGAAAAGCCGTGTGCAAGCAAGGAGGCCTACAAACCTGACTCAGTTACACCAGCTCTGTCAGGAGGAATGGGCCAAAATTCACCCAACTTATTGTGGGAAGCCTGTGGAAGGCTACCCGAAACGTTTGACCCAAGTTAAACAATTTAAAGGCAATGCTACCAAATCCTAATTGAGAAACTTCTGACCCACTGGGAATGTGATGACAGAAATAAAAACTGAAATAAATTATTCTCTCTACTATTAATCTGACATTTCACATTCTTAAATTAAAGTGGTGATCCTAACTGACCTAAAACAGGGAATTTTTACTAGGATTAAATGTTAGGAATTGTGAAAAACTGAGTTTAAATGTATTTGGCTAAGGTGTATGTAAAATTCTGACTTCAACTGTATATATATTTGTTACTGCTCGACTAAAACAATCTCGGTCGACCAACAGCCTAACGACCAAACAAATCGACTAGTCGACTAATTGGGGTCAGCCCTACATCCTGCAGATGTAGTCTCATGCAGGTACATGCAGTAACATACCCCTTTGTTCAAATCAGCCATTCAAATCTCCCTTTAATCAAAAGCCTGGCTGGCACCAAGGAGATTAGGTACTCATCAGTACTGTATGGTACATTAGAATAATTAAAGTGAGGGGCAGCATTTGGCTGAAAATGGGGTGACTGTGTAACAGTAAGCATGAGCCAATTATTTAATGGAATGAAATGGTCCTGGTCCGGATCTACTGTATGCCTACAGTCATTAATCCTTTGAAACCTTTAAGAAAATAGTGTGTGTCCTTGTTTAGAGGTGATGGGGGTCTACAGTGTGGAAAAAGAGATATAGGGAGAGAAAGAAAGAAAAGAGAGAGATGGAGGGAGAGAAACAGAGAAAGAGAGAATGAAAGGAAAGGAGAGAGCGAGAAAGAGAGAAAGAAAGAGAGCGAGAAAGAGAAATAACATCTTGTTTTAGCATACTGAGACCAGTCCACAGCAGCGGGTGGTGGTTGAGTAGGAGCCAACGGCTTCCTACAGCACTGGGCACGGGCACTGGCAGACTGCAGCTACAGTGCCAACCTAACCCCTGCAACAGACAGAGCTGGTGCTTATGCACCAAAAGAAGATGCTGCTCGTATTGCATAAGTGCAAATAATACATTGCAGTTATTTTGTTTATCGTTGAGTCTACAATGGTACTTTCCTACAGTACAGTATATCATAAAGATAAACCCTAATTGTGTTCTTTATGAAGATTAACATTCTGTAAAATACCCTGGAATACCCTAATCTGGACAGTCAGTCCGATCAGGTAGCCTACCATTTTCAATGGTAGAGCAGAGCAAGAGTGACCATAAGTAAGTATAGCTTCCTAAAACACTGCTGTCCTAACTGCTAATGTACCCATCTGGAACTACAATTAAAATAGCTTACTCCATAGAACAAAGGCTAATTTTCTAATATGGCTAGGCCTACTACAATTAAAGTAGCTTCCTATTACAAATAATAATTATAAATCGGGTCACTACAATTGAAATAGCTCTATCCATGTAACAATTCCTAATTGTACTATTATCAAAATAGATTCATCCATAGAACAAAGGCTAACAAGCTAACTGGCTAACTTCCTGCAAATCCAATGGTTACATGATAATTTACTGGGAAGTACATACTTATGCTAATGCTAAATCCCCATTTAGCTTCCCCAATAGCTTCTCAATCTTTACAAGCTCAAGTTATCCTTTTTGTATTCAGGCTAAAACAACATTATAAACTGGACTACTTTCCAGACAAGGAAAAGGGTATTTAATACAGACACACTGCAGACAGAACATTGTGTTGGATTATCGAGAAGAACTAATGCTGAATTTGTAGCTGTCAACTTATTTTCTTAATTTATTTTCACAGTGCCAAGCTTTATTGATTTCTTTGTAAAGAAAATGTTTCAAGAATGATGGCATCTGAGAGGACTATCCCTTTAAAAGCTATGCCACAGTACAGTACAGTAGTTGACTGTCTGTGAGCAATTCATATTGTACTATATTACCATCTAAGACCACGCTATAGATAGCGCAGATGGTCTCAAGGGGCTCTTTTTGACCGAGGGATTTCCTAGCTCACTGTACCCTAACCGAGAGGATTCAGAGTGGATCCTGTACAGTACACAGGAGCCTACAGGATCAATAGGGATCCATAGGGATCAAACCCACAAGCTCAACTCTGTCCTCTGTCAGTCTGATTCTCGCATCACTACAGACGTTATCATAAGCCTTTCTCCCGATCCTCTTGGGACGTCCATTCTGAGGTATTAGGCTACTAATACAGGACAGGCCATTGTATCTGCCTGGGACAGGTTGCAGAAACCTGCATGTGACATCACAATACCTCCGTCTTCCTGCCCTGATCCGTTTAGCTGTGTGGTGCAGGGGTCAGGGAGAATGAGACAGCCAGTACACCAATGTCCTGCCTAGTGGGTCATTGAGGCCTACTATGAGTGCTTTAAGGCAGGTATAGCATTAAAGCGCCAGTGAATCTCAAGATTAAACTTGGGTCTATAACCATTAAAACCCAATTGACTATTTGGTATGAAATATTAGACCTCTACATAATATATGAAATATATTAGAACTCATCAAATATATCCGGCCTCTAGCTATACATAATTTATGACTACATCATTAGCCTAGTTAATTCCACGTAATACTAAATGACGACAAGGGAGATAAGAAAGCATAATTTGTGGCAGAAACTGCACCCAGATTAAAGTTTCAGCCTGTCTGTGGTGTAGGCAGCCCTGAGGACATCATCATCAAATCCCTTGCGTACATTCCCTTGAGTAGCAGTGCCTACAGATTACAGCTGTACTGTATTTGTGTCATGAAATATTATAATTCATCCAATTGTATTTAGCCTTTGTGTAACAGTCATCTAAAGCCAGAGATTTTCTAGAAAAGTCTGTTCACTTTCTGGATCTGCGCCAGCATCTATGCCAGTGTCGCAGTATACTGACAGAAAAGGTGCCAGCCAGCCAGCACGCTGCCCGTTCAGACAAAGGACCAAATGGAGGCTGAAAAGAAAGACATACTCTAGCTAAAATAGGCTGCCATATATATATATATATATATATATATATATATATATATATTTATGTGTGTGTGTGTGTGTGTCAAAGCAGGGTGAAAATCGATCTAGAATATTCTGAGGTATAATGAATCATCTGCCGTATTCTTATTTCATATACTCAGTATTATACTGTAGTAGTCTCAGTATTATACACTCGTTGGCCAGTTTATTATGTACACCCATCTAGTACCAAGTCGAAACCCACATTTGCCTCCAGAACAGCCTGAATTCTTCGGGGCATGGACATTTTGCTCAGTTGGTATCAAGGGACCTAACGCGTGCCAGGAAAACATTCCCCACACCATTACACCACCAGCCTGTACCGTTGACACCAGGCAGGATGAGGTCATGGACTCATGCTGCTTATGCCAAATTCTGACTCTGCCATCAGCATGACACCACAGGAACCGGGATTCGTCAGACCAGGCAATGTTTTTCCACTCCTCAATTGTTCCAGTGTCGGTGATCGCGTGCCCACTGGAGCCGCTGCTTCTTCTTTTTACCTGATAGGAGTGGAACCCGATGTGGTCGTCTGCTGTAATAGCCCATCCGTGACAAGGACCGACGAGTTGTGCGTTCCGAGATACTGGAACCGGCACGCTTCGCACCACGCTCATAGTTGCTTAGATCACTAGTTTTGTCCATTCTAACATTCAATCGAACAGTAACTGAATGCCTCGATGCCTGCTTTATATAGCAAGCCACGGCCACGTGACTCACTGTCTGTAGGAGAGAACCATTTTCATGAACGGGGAGGTATACCTAATAAACTGTGTATATTATACTGTAACCCAGCATATGGAGTATTGCTAGAGGCACTGAGTGAAGACAATTAACTAGAGTGTGAATCTAGGGCATCATCATGACACCTGCCACATTGAAGGACCATAACAGAACAGCATGGTTGGGACCAGCCTTGTCATTTCATCATTTAATTAATTTAGGGCATGAATTGAAAATTATATTAAATGCCCACTGAAACAATGATCAATTATGGACAATTACCCAATTCAAACATGAGGGGTTGATTCAATTTCTTAATTCAATTGAGTTAAGATGATATGATAGATCCCATCTTTACAAAACATTATTCTCATCAGGGCAAATGGACAGTTCTAGAACATACCCACTGGGCAAAAACTGGTTGAATCAACATTGTTTCTCGTCATTTCAACCCCCAAAAAATCAATGTGATGTCGTTGAATCAACGTGGAAAACTAATTGGATTTGCAAAAAGCCATCAGCGTAAAGGCATTCATTTAGACACCCAACTTATAACCTAAAATCCAATATCATGGTGAAATGTATTTTTTATTTCACCTTGTATACACGTTAGTTGACAACCAAACCAAAGGTAAATCAAAACTAGACGTTGAACTGACATCTGTGCCCAGTGGGTAGCCAGTACTTCCATGTTTTTGACCTTCATAGAGTCCTAAAAGTCCACAACCTTTTCCAGCAAGTCTGTTTACTGCAGCCCAAAGTCAATGACACTCAAAGGCACAGAGACAATACACCACAGAGAACACTGCTGCTGCTGCTGCTGGAAAACACACAGACTGCTGCTAAGAACACACACTCTGGCACAGTGACCTTCACACTCTACGGGGAGAAATGCAAGATCAGTATATCTGGCAGCCCGTGTACACTGGAGGTAAGTTATACATTTGGCATTTGTGAGTTCAATATCTCAAAGGTAGAGACAAAGATCAGACTTCAGATGTTCATATACACACACGTAGCCAGTCAATAACCTAACCATGTGTTACTGTATGTGAATGAAATCACAGCTGAATGAAATCACTCATACAACAAAGAATCCATGCATAAGCACCTTCACAGCCATACCGTCACTCACTTAGCTTGACTGTAAGCTGCACAGATTCTACAGTATGTTTACACCACAGCAACACTGCCTATAAAGCTGATCTATGGCTGCAGAATCAGCCTGATTGCCTGCAACCACCTCACTCCCTCCTTTGCCCTTTCTCCCATCCTCCTCCACTGCTCCCTCCATCCTTGCTCCTCTCTCAATCGCTCTCTTTTCTATGTCTCTCGCCCTCCCTTTACTCCCTCACCTTGCATCAGTTCCCTGCACAGAATCTCCTTATTGTGTTGCTTTTCTCCCTCCTCCACCTCCTCTTCTTCCTCCTCCTGGCTCCCGTGGCCGCTCTCCTTCTCTTCCTCCTCGGAAGCAGAGGAACTCCACACCTCCACGGTGACCGGACAGAAGCCTTCTTCCATCCCCCCTTCCGTTATATTGTTCTTTTTATTCTATCTCTTCACTAACTCTCTTTTGTTCCCTGCTTCAGCTCTATGCTCATTCCAATAAGCCGATGCTCTGTTGCGTTTTACAAACAGTACCTGTGTCTGTGTGGGTGTGTGTTAAGTGTGTGAGAGGAGACTGAGCTGTCCTTAGTGTTAATATGTAATCCCTCTGACTGGGAGGTCCATCTGTCCTCACCCTCCTGTTTATATTGACCTGGCCACACTGGACTGTGGGAGCGCAGAAAGAGGAGGAGGAGGAGGGATGTCAGAGGTAGCTTGAGATCAGAATGACGCATAAAAGCTCAAATAGATCATACATAATTTTGCCTAAGAACTATACATATAGAAATGCAAGGCTTTAATATAAAACACAATACAAATTATAATCTGGTTTAACAAGAGAATGCACTTAGTCCCTGCACCCCCGTGAGGCAGAGTGAGATGGTACGTTCCAGCCAAGGCCATGACTGTTGTCTTCCTGCACACGTACTATTGGTGCAGACTGATCCACACCCACTTCTAGAGGGAGAGGGATGCAACACTGATACTGTACACATAGACTGGGATTGTGAGTGGACTGTTGATGTTCGTGTGAACTGTTGCTGTTTGTGTGGAGAGGGAAAGTGATATATGAATTGATGTCAAGCTGGGTTTTCAGCTGGCCAGCGCCTCTCGATTTAGTGAGCTCTTTGGTATATTAGCACTGTGCAATCCTCACATGCACAGTAAAATAATGCAAACACAATTGTTCCTCAATTCTCAACGCAAATACATTTAATGAATTAATTCACATGAACTGTGAATGTACAAACTGGAGAGATGCCCATTGTTTTCATGTTTTCCAATTAATGGTCTGTATTGACTGAGTTAAAATAAAGTAATCCCAAAGTACTAAAGCTGCTTATTTCACATCAACTGATACGTTTCAAAACAATATATCAGATATATGCCAGGTATGCTTTATTGACATATAACAACTTAGTACAGGGAAAAACACACCCCTGAAGTCTAGCCTTCATCACCACCAACCATCATCATCACTTCATCCACCCAGTGCCCTCCCTGTTGCTACCCTGGCACTCAAGGTGTCCTCTCCCAATCAAATATTAACCTCTCCCTCATAAATGTTTCACCCGCAGGCAGCTTCTTTCAGGTCAGGTACGGCACACAGGGGGCAGGTACTTTCACTGTCTCCCCCTTCTCTTCTCCTTTCTCTCTTTACACCCCCCTGGCCCGTTTCATCCCCCTATCCACTTCGCTTTCCTACCAGGGTTGTGTAACCGCCTCCCCAACACAACGCATTAGACAGGCAGGACAAAATGGAGGATGCCAGCGCCTAAAAATACCAGCCCATTCAATACAATTGGACTTCCTTACCCTTCCAAACCTAATTGATTGATTTAGTTAACAAAATCAGGTCACTGCTACAATAGAATTAGATAGACAAAGGAAAGTTAGATTAAGCTGGGGCCAAGATGGCTAAAGAAGGCTACATTACAGAATATACAGTGTGTCAGGCCCTTTGTCTCCAATAAAAAGAGCACAGACCCAAAGCTCATTAAAACCCTTGTAGCAGTAAAGCTTGGTAACATTTTCCCTCACATTATCTATGACAAACCTGACGTTTTTTCATAAACATGACATAACATGACATAACATGACATAACATAAGCACTAAGCAGTCATAATTAGCTGACTGACTTGACACAGTCAAGACTATGCTAGCCTAGCCATTGTTAGCGTGCATAAAATAGCACTGCAAGCAACCTGACAATGTTATACTAACATAAAATGATGTCAGTTATCATGACTTCTGTAATACTATGCTAATAACAGTGGAAGGATCACGTAAAGTGTTACCAAGAGCTGCTACACTGATTCATGGACAAATCCATTCTGCCTCTGCAGATATGGACAAAAACATAAGTTCCAAGTCAATATTCACACGAAACCACTTTGAACTGATATCACTTCCTTGCAATCAACAAATGGAGAGCAAATCACGGTTCAATATTTGACTAAGATGAAAGAACACACCCTTAGGAGGTCGATGGCCAAATAGTTTCATGGGCGGCTACGGGTTCAGTGGAAACACAGTCAGAGCAAAACAACACCATAAGCTCCATATCACTGATCAGATAAAGAGAGACTGATCCAGTCTAAAGTACCCTATAAAGTGGTAACATAGACTACCATTCAAAAGTTTTAGAACACCTATTCATTCAAGGATTTTTCTTTATTTTTACTATTTTCTACATTGTAGAATAATAGTGAAGACATCAAAACTATGAAATAACCAATAAACCAATAAACCAATAAACCAATAAATAAGTAACCAATAAAGTGTTAAACAAATCAAAATATATGTTATATGTTATCATCCGTTCACCCACACCTTATCTCACAAAGACACAGCGGTTGGAACCAAAAATCTCCAAACCAAAGGACTCCAAACGAAAGGACAAATGTCCACCAATCTAATGTCCATTGCTCGTGTTTCTTGGCCCAAGCAAGTCTCTTCTTCTTATTGGTGTCCTTTAGTAGTGGTTTCTTTGCAGCAATTCGACCATGAAGGCCTGATTCACACAGTCTCCTCTGAACAGTTGATGTTGAGATGTGTCTGTAACTTGAACTCTGTGAAGTATTTATTTGGGCTGCAATTTCTGAGGCTGATAACTCTAATGAACTTATCCTCTGCAGCAGAGGTAACTCTGGGTCTTCCATTCCTGTGGCGGTCCTCATGAGAGCCAGTTTCATCATAGCGCTTGATGGTTTTTGCGATTGCACTTGAAGAAACTTTCAAAGTTCTTGAAATTTCCCGGATTGACTGACCTTCATGTCTTAAAGTAATGATGGACTGTCGTTTCTCTTTGCTTATTTGAGCTGTTCTTTCCATAATATGTACTTGGTCTTTTACCAAATAGGGCTATCTTCTGTATACCCCCCCTACCTTGTCACAACACAACTGATTGGCTCAAACGCATTAAGAAGGAAAGAAATTCCACAAATGAACTTTTAAGAAGGCACACCTGTTAATTGAAATGCATTCCAGGAGAATGCCAAGAGAATGCCAAGAGTGTGCAAAGCTGTCATCAAGGCAAAGGGTGGCTATTTGAAAAATCTCAAATATAAAATATATTTTGACTTGTTTAACACTTTTTTGGTTACCACATGATTCCATATGTGTTATTTCATAGTTTTGATGTCTTCACTATTATTCTACAATGTAGAAAATAGTGAAAATATAGAAAAACCATTGAATGAGTAGATGTTCTAAAACTTTTGACCGGTAGTGTAGCTAGATATGCATTGATCAACAACGACATATGAAGAGTGGAATCAGTCACGTTCTGCTCTTAGAAGTGGTCAGCCGTCCAGTGCAATGGCAAAACACAAAGGCTGCACCTGAAATGTCACCCTACTCCCTGTCTAGTGCGCTACTTTTGAACAGAGCCCGGGTCAAAAGTAGTGTACTACATAGGGAATAGGATGTCATTTCAGACGCATCCAGAGACTGGGTTGTTTATCATAGGGGTTAGCTCCATTTCAGGTGTATTTATTGACATGGGCATCCACCCATATCCCTGCCGCAGTTAGGTTAAGACTGTAAGCTGAACCGGTATTTAAAGCAACAGAGCCAGACACAAAGGATTACTTATTAATAAGTCTATAACTGGAATGAAGTTGAATCTTTTAAAAGGCTGGCAGAGACGGAGAGAGAGTATTTGAGACGGAAAGAAGAAGACAGAAGGTGCATGAAAGAACAGAGAAAGGAAGTAGAGAAACATCCTGAATTGTTATAAAGGAGACAGCTAGAGGAGGGTAGAAAGTGAGAGAAGCGGGGAATTGGTCAACCCACAGATGGAACACAGAGCAAAACCAGGAGGGAGGGAGAGATTCAGATCAGAATAGGTGTGCACCAAGGTAGATTACCAGAAGAGGGACACCCAAATAAGAGATGTACAGAAGTTTAGGGCACGTGCCGCCTGCTAAGTATCTAATGTCAACAGAGGACCAGATATAAGACACAGCTGTGTGTCGGCTGACTGGCTGTGTACAGTCGTGGTCAAAAGTTTTGAGAATGACACAAGTATTGGTCTTCACAAAGTTCACTGCTTCAGTGTTATGAGATATTTTTGTCAGATGTTACTATGGTATACTGAAGTATAATTACAAGCATTCCATAAGTGTCAAAGGCTTTTATTGACAATTACATTAAGTTTATGCAAAGATTCAATATTTGCGGTGTTGACCCTTCTTTTTCAAGACCTCTGCAATCCGCCCTGGCATGCTGTCAATTAACTTCTGGGTCACATCCTGACTGATGGCAGCCCATTCTTGCATAATCAATGCATGGAGTTTGTCAGAATTTGTGGGGTTTTGTTTGCACCTTGAGGATCGACCACAAGTTCTCAAGTCTGGGGAGTTTCCTGGCCATGGACCCAAAATGTCGATGTTTTGTTCCCCGAGCCACTTAGTTATCACTTTTGCCTTATGGCAAAGTGCTCCATCATGCTGGAAAAGGCATTGGTCGTCACCAAACTGTTCTTGTATGGTTGGGAGAAGTTGCTCTCGGAGGATGTGTTGGTACCATTCTTTATTCATGCCTGTGTTCTAAGGCAAAATTGTGAGTGAGCCCACTCCCTTGGCTGAGAAGCAACCCCACACAAGAATGGTCTCAGGGATGCTTTACTGTTGGCATGACACAGGACTGATGGTAGCGCTCACCTTGTCTTCTCCAGACAAGGTGTTTTCCGGATGCCCCAAACAATCGGAAAGGGGATTCATCAGAGAAAATGACTTTAACCCAGTCCTCAGCAGTCCAATCCCTGTACCTTTTGCAGAATATCCGTCTGTCCCTGATGTTTTTCCTGGAGAGAAGTGGCTTCTTTGCTGCCCTGCTTGACACCAGGCGATCCTCCAAAAGTCTTCGCCTCACTGAGCTCTGCACTGGTGGTGCCCCGATTCCGCAGCTG